GGAAATAATTCGGATTTAATAAGATTCGGCTGAATTTTGAGATAATATTTCATTGGAATTTAGGAAATATTATTTACCGGAAACACAAATATTTGGGCAAGTTCCTAAACTTATCGAAATAACTCAGCGAGTTACTTCATACATCGATTGAATTACCGATGGCTCAGCGACTTCATCGGCTTTTAGGGTCGATGGATCAGTGGTGGATCCAGGAATTTTCTCAGTGGGGGACACACACATCTGTACCTGATGCTTCTCCCACCCCTACCCGTTCCCCCATCACTAACCATATCTCCCCACTCCTTTGCTGAGTTTAGCCGCACAAAGTTCTCTTGATATGGTTTTAACATAAGCAAACTCTATTTTTATTTAAAATAAATTTTGTCTAGTTTACTGTGAAACAATCGTGAAATACTTAAATTAAATAATTGGCGAAATTGGGCTATGGAAAAAAGTTTTTGATTAGCAATATTAGAGTGTATTGAATTTTTTACGCTGATCTTTCACAAGCCGGTTAAAATCGCTTTAGTTTATAAAATAAATCGTACTCAAATCTTTTCTTTGATCGATTTCCAGAAAAATAAATCTAATTCGGTTTTTTTTTTTTAATAAGCATATTTAAAGGTATAAAAACTTTTCTGAAATAGGTAGGAAAGTTGTGTGAGTGGACACACCAGATTTTTTTTTAATCACATTAGAAATTTCGTTAGCTACTACGATCAATTAAACTTCTCCTGTACAAAGTCCTTTTATGACTGGTTTTGACATACGGATGTGAATCATGGACAGTGACGAAGGCCAGTGAGAGGAGTAAAATATTAGTTTTCGAAAGGAAGGTCCTTCGGAAGATATTTGGCCCAGTTAAGGAGAATTAGACGCAACCAAGAACTAGCAAACTCATACAAGGAGCCGGAGGTGTTGATATATATCCGGATGGCAAGGCTGAGATGGACGAGACCTCAACCCCAAAGAAGCTACTGAGCATGGAGCCAGGTGGTAAAAAAAAAAAAGTTGCAGACCGAAACTGAGATGAAAAATAGGAGTAAGTGTTGATGCCAAAATCGTTGGAATTAGGAACTATTGGACGGCTGTTCAGGACAGAGAGACATGGAGGAAAACTATTGAGGCAGTCAAGGTCCAGTAATGGATTGTCGAGCTCGGGATGATGATGATCACATTAGAAAATTCGTCTTAGAGGATGATTTTTTCCCCTATATCCTTTCTTTGTTTAGGTGTTTTTGGAACTTTTTTTGGGATTATTTTTCCACCATCCAGAGGGGGGCACGTCCCCTGACAGAAATCACTAGTGCTGGTCATGATAATAACTTCTTTTTATATTACATTAGAAAATTTGCCTATGAGGATGATTTTTTTCTATATTTCTCTTTTCTTTAAATAGCTGCTTTTTTGGAGCCTTTTTAGGAATTGTTTTCAAACTTCCAGGAGGGGGGGCGCCCCAGGCTGGATCCACTAGCACGATAATAATTTTTTTTATATCACATTAGAAAATTTGTTTAGATGATGAAATTTTCCTATATTTTTTTTTTAATAGGTGTTTTTTGGAAAAATTGTTTCTTCATCCAATGGATGCTCCCCACGCTCCCTGTCAGAATTTGCTAGTGCTGGCCATGATAATAATTTTTTTTTTATATTACATTAGGAAATTTATCTATGAGGATGAATTTTCCCTATATTTATCTTTTCTTTAAATAGCTGATTTTTGGATTTTTCCAATTTCCAGAGGGGGGGGGGGCCCTCCCTCACTCCCCGGCTGAATCCGCTGGATCAGGGGTCTTCAAATAAACAGCAGTGAGGGAATCCGTAATACGTTTGTACTTCTTTCGTTTGACAGACACTATTTTTAACAGAACTGTCCAGTTATTCGAATACGCCGATAATTTTGATTTTGTTACCAGGCCCCAAATTGCACTGAAAGAGGCATTTCTCCAACTAGAAAAAGCAGCTAAGAATTTTAGACTAGTCAACGAAATAAAAACTAAATATATGCAAACTGGACCAGAGCGTTTGTGGGATGATGATATTGGGGTCGGAGATGAATTTGGATGGTGATATATCTCAAGATATTAAATGGGGCAATATAGAACTTCAATGAAAGTCTTGGGCCGATGATAGGAAAAAAAATAGGCCCTGATTCAGCAACAAATTGTAGTGCCATATATGTATGTTAAACATAAAAAAAAAAAAAAAAAATTGGTTGAAATTGGTGGCTATAATACCAAATATGTAAATTATTGAATTAGAAAACACTTAGCCTCTTTTAAGTAATAAGTGTGCTGCAAATGTAGCAACTCAATAAATATCCAAGAAATAAATCATTTCTCTTTTGAATTTTATAAATTACTATTTAATCAAAATTTTTAAAAAAATCTCTTAAAATCTAAACCATTTACTTATAAAGCTTTATTTTCTTTTAGGAGAGGCTTTATTAAATAAAATAATTTATTACTTCTTTCTGGATAAAACTTTAAATAACAGTAATGCTTATGTTGTCAAATAACTCAGATAGTTTAAAAAAATAGAAAAGTTGATAATAATACTCACCATAGTATCAAAATGATAATCTCAATACCAAATTTACAACTTTTCTTGGAAAAAAAGGAGCAGGTGTTTATTGAAATAGGTATTTGACATTTCCAAATATCAGTTCTTTATTACATTTCAGAAAACTAAGGTTACATAGTCGTTAAATTTGAAGTTCTATTATGAGATTATTCACCATTAAAAGCGACTAGGCACCAATATCTATACACAGACATAAAAATTTAGGATACATGCATTTTTATTTTGAGGTGATTCAATTATCTTGACACAGTGATTAATCAAAAGTAAGATATGGAAATAAATTGATCTTAATTTTGAGTACAGTTTGCCCGAGGAATCATAAACCTACTTTCCTATTACTATTTATGAACAGAGTTGACTAATATACATACATATTTACAGCATTTACATCTAGTAGGGGAAAGAGGAATTCCTTCTAGTAATGCTTGAGCAATTCATTTATTCAATCCATGATATGATCATACCTAATCTTTGGTATTATATAGTACATTAGTGTATACTTCTTTTAATGAAGTTTTGAAAATATAGTGACTTCATTAGATATTGTGATTATTAATCAAGTAACTAGTAATAATAGTTAATGTTAATACACATTTAAGACAACTTCTGAATTGGAAATCATAACCACTTAACAAATAACAATTTTATATTTACAATAAAGAATTTCATACATTTTTATTGTAGGCTAGAATCATCACAGGAGGCTAGAATAAAAATTATTTCTTTAGGTGTTGGGAAAAAAATGCATTCTATATATTCATACATTATTAATTTATTTTTCCTCACTGGGAAAAAAATTTAAATCTCAATCATTTCTTTAAATGATAATTACCAATACTTTTATACGATTGTCTTATAACATTAAACTTCTCTTTTTTTATATGTATAACAACTTACAATACAGCCTAAATTTGTATTACTTACATAAAACATTTACAACTTACTTTTTGCACTTGTCAAAATGAAAAAAAAAAAAAGTTTTTGTAAATAGTAGAACAGTGTGAACATATATTCAATAGCATAGAGTAGCCATCAGCAGTAACAAAACATTTTTTATACTAACACTGGTTTAATTGTGATATATTTAGATTTTTAAACATAAACAGCATGAATATGTTCAAATACAAGTATGGAAATAAAATAAATCAGTAAACATAACTTTCTCAGATAATTTAAGTGATTATTAATTTGTTCTTTACGAATAATAAATCCCTCCCTGAGTTTTTTTCCTTTTGAATGAACACCTATCTATAATAAATGTAAACAAAGTTGAAATTGTTTTATATATTAGTAATGAACTAGGTTTATTTTAAAAATAATTGAAGAAATATTATAGAAAAGAAAGGAGGGGGGTTTAATGAGATTCTATTTCATTAACACATTTTATTTTTCTGAAGCATTTTTTTTTTCTCCAAAAATATTACTATAAAATTACCATGTTGTTTGTGGACATTTAAATTTTAGTTAATTTTCTAATAACACTCTTGTGATATAGAGTAACTTTATATATTATATCATTTACTTTGTTTTATATAAAATAAAAAAGATACTTGAAATGAAATAACTAGTAACATTGAGTTTAATTGAATAATTATTGTGATAATATTTGACCATTTCTTAGTGCTCATCACAGATATAGTGAATAGATTTTTGTATAACAATGAATTTAGAAGGGAAAAAGAGATCTTGGTAAAGTAGCTCACTGTTTCCATGATCAAAGATAAATTTCATTACTATAATTTATTACTTGCTGTCTTCTAAAAATATTGTTTAAAGACATGAATTAATAATTAACTTCATAATACAATTATTATTTTCTTTCCTTTTCTAAAAATTCAATTTGCATAATAATTTATCTCTAGATATATCTTGAAATAAGATATTCTGGCCATCAACCATTTAACCTTCCCGGGACGTTTGTTGAGCTTTCTCTTATCTAGTTCCATCACAACATTAATCATCACACATTATTTTGAAAACCTAATTTTATCCTGTTTTAAAATTAAAATAAATAAATATTGACATTAGATTAGTTTTAATAAAGAATTGCATTTCTATTGTGAAATCTATTCTTATATAAATATGTTCTCATCATAAATATGGTTAAAACTTAGGTATAAAAGTATAAACAGAAATGCATTTTTTATCCTGAGTATATTTAAATATTATTTTTTAAAAAGTTATAATCGGTTTAGTTTTTATAAGCCATTAACCATTACAGAGACAGCTTAGGTTAGTTAAATCCATGGTTATCTGGCTCTAAAATAAAATGTTCATCAACATCTAATTAACAGAAGAAATATTTAATTTCTTTAAATATTTAACAGCTTATTTTAGTGAACTTTTTTTTTTTTTAAACCTTATTAAAATAAATTAAAAACAAAAATGCAATTTCATCACTTTTGATCCTATACTATCTATAATGTTACTATAAGTAACCAAAATGTTACAATTATTAAAACTTTAGCCAATGAAATAACAGTGGCTCTTGAGGATTGAGCAGGTACAACACCAGAGGCACGTGTGTTACTTCTAGTAATTTGTGATCTCCATCTGAATGTGAAGCTTGGGAGAGTTCGTGTCATTGCATTCAATCTATAGAAAAAAAAAAAATCAGATACACAAAATATATTTTATTACTTATAAACAATATTAACTTCATTTTTGTTAATGTTCCTTTTAAAAACAATTACAAAAAACAAATGGTGGATTGTTTTGAAGATTACATGAATATTTTTATTTCTTAACAAAATCATTCATTTTGTTTATTTATCATATGCTCATCATAGCACATGGTATACTTCATCTTCAAGCCCAATCAAATGAAGAAAATACTCAAGAAATAAAAGAATCAATAAAGTTATATTTACCATAAACATACATATTAAGAATTACTGGTTTAAGGTAAATGAAACATTTATATTCATATCAATTAGAATCGTATCACTCAAATTACAAAACAAACACTAATGGTAAGTGGGAATGATGGTGTATAGAAAAAATAGTGGTACTAGTTTAGGAGCTATACAAATTTGATTAACTAATGGTTTTAAATAACTGGGTTTGACAATCAGTAAGTATTGATACCTATAACATTCTATGTAAAAATTTGAAACAGTCATAAGTGTTATCATTGCTGATGGCCTAAATTTTGCATATTTTTAAAGTTAGATTTGATTGAGCTATAAATGACTAAGATTTAAAAAAAAATATTGTAAAATAATGACAGATGTGTTATCCATATCTCTCGTCAATAAAATGAAATGTATAAAAATTTACGGAAAATCGAAAGTTGGTAATTAGTGAAATGTATATATATATATATATATATATATATATATATATATATATATATATATATATATATATATATATATGTTTCTGTTGATTTATAGAGCTAGTGAATGTTAAACAGTCTTCCCCATCTCTGCTTTTCTTGGCCAGTCATCTGCATGCAACTCTGAATCATCTTGTTGCTTTGATCAATCCATCTGATTTTTTGTTTTCCATGTGGTCTTTTGCCTACAATAGAGACATTAATTGTTGCGTAAAGGCTTCCTGTTGGTTTTCTTTGAGCCACATGCCCTGTCCATCTTAATTTCCTTTCCTTATTTTCATGAGATATTGGTTGACCAGTTTCTGTTAGCTTTATTGGTCCTTCTCAATGTGTTATTACCCTGATTCCAGATCATTTTGGTTATCATGCCAAGGATTTTTCTCACAAATCTTTCAATACTTCTTTCTAGGATACTGGTTAGTGTCCAGGTCTCACAACCATATATCAGAACTAGCTTTTAATTATACACTTTTAATTTGACATTTTTGGATTTTTTTGGGGGGATTTCAATACTTATCTCAGTCTCAGTACCTAGATACCTAGTCTAAATACCTCAATACCTAGCAACCTAATGATTTTGTACTTTGGGGTAAATTCATTACTAACAATATCAAAGTGCCTAGTTAAACATTTTTTGTATGTGGCTGTTTTGTATTTTATCATGGTTTATTCCCAATTTTCATGCAGTTAATATATTTTCAATTATTATTTATACATCTAAAGTTAAATTGTTGCTTACAGAGTTTTGTGAATATGAATATCTTAATTAAGCTGTTTGATCCAAAAATAGAGCTTTTTCTAAAAAAAACTATAAATATTTGTATGTTTGTTAAAGATTAATAAAATAATTGAACAAAACTAAGGCAACAGAGAATATTGGCAACTATGGTATCTGATCTTCCAAAAATGTGATTTGGTAAAGTTGACTAAATAACAAAATACATTTTAATTTATGTGCTTGTTTGTTAAGTTGGAAAAATATTCTGAGCATTAGATATATTTAAAATTGATATAGGTTTGGTAAAAGTTTGATATGTATCACCTGATAACTATAATATTTGTTTCCCATGGTAGTGCATATGTCTTGTTTCTGCTCCTTGGGCAGAATGTATAAAGCAATTTTCCAGTTTTGTCAGGATTTCTTTTTCCATACTCATGGAGTGTGATGTTCCAAGATGTACAAGGACCTGAAATCATAGTAGTCAGAAAATGAATTATCCATGAGTTATATTCTGTCTTTTTAGGGTTAATTTTACTTTTTGAGACAGATTGTTATAATACTCAATAAAGAAATAAAAAAAAAAAATTTTACTTTAAGCATTTCTTGGTTTATATTTTTTTCACGGGATCTTATTTTGTGGATAGGTATTTGTTTTCAACTATAAAATTAAAAATACAGAAATCTAAAGAGAGAAAACACTATTTTATTTTATTTATAATTGTTTTTAAAGTAGAATTAGAAAGTTTTTGTTTTGGAAAGTAGAATTAGAAAAATCGTAGGTCATACACAATCACACTTGCTGCTGACTGTTCCATGTTTCTCCCTTGACCCTTATTCTGAAACTTTCCATTCCAAAAATCCATGACTCCATTGAAACCTCCTTATGGGAACCCCTGGCTTCACCTCAAAAACCTCCATATTCATTACTAAAACTCTGTAAATAACCTTGGAGTTATCCTTGATCAATATCAAATTTTGAATAACCTTAATTAAATCTCCCAAAATCCATCTCAATCCTCACATATCTCCTAAGGTTTGTGATTAATTTCCCCGAAGTACTGGTCATCAAGTATTTTCTCCCACTTTGACTAGGTAAGACTATCTGTCGAGCAGGAAATGAGACTGTGGTGCACAAAACAAAAGAATTAATTTATATGGCAGTGAATGCGCATTAAGGCAGTGTAAAGAGAGAGAGAGAGAGTGAGAGTCAGATGTTTTTAGGAGATTGAAGAGAACAGTGGTTGGAAAAGGTGAAGAGACCTACGTGCGTTGGAGGAAACATTAGTTCTCTCTTCTCTCTCTCTCTCTCTCTCTGTCTCTTTAACTGCTGGAAGAAGCGGACTTATATCGATGAAGTCTTTGGTATATTTTGTACGTTATTCAGATGTATATTAGTCAGTAAATTTTATATCAGCTTTAGGTTAGTCCGTAAGTTCTTGTTGTTTAGTTATAACTAGTTAAGTTTAGATTACTCCTTAGATTAAGTTTTATTAATTATCTATAGTCTATTGTTTATTTAGAAATTTCATTGGGTTTTTTATAGTCTGTTCGTCTAAATTGTATACGTCAATACACAATTTTGATTATTTAATGTTTCGATTTTGATTATTTATAAATAAAACATATGTTAGGTTAATAAAGTGGATACGGGAGGTTTTCAAATGGTTGTATATTTAAGCTCGCGTATATGAATGTTAAGACAACCATTATCACAAGACTAAAAAGGTTTATGAATTGCTTCATAAGCAGTTGCTCATTAATGGGCCGTTTTCTTGAAAAAGGCACTAACAATTTTGATTAAATTCATTCTATCAGTGTAAAATTAAGCAGTTTTTAAAAATATAATGTAGGTTTTATTCTCATTGATGTTCTTTAACAGGGCTTAAATGGCTAATATTCAATATTAGCTTCCTTTAAAGTACCTTTAATATTTTTATTTCCAACAATTAACCATTTTAAATTTATCTCTAATATAAAAATTAGTTATATATAAAATATGAAAGAATTTGATAATTAACTACAGGAGAAATAAGAGATCATAACGTATAATAGTTGTAATGGAGGAACCAAAAGATTAGAACAGGCTTCCATACTTAACATGAGCTTAATATAAAATGGTCTCCGACAATATTGTGCACATATTTATATGTGGTTTTCATAAATGTTATTTAATTATATCGATTACAGGGATATCAATATTAAAATTTGTATATATCAGGGTACTTAAACAAATAAAATACCCACAATGAAATGTAAATAAATATAGCGTCTATAACTTTTTACTTTCACTTTCCCTTTGTCTGAAAATACTTATTTCTGTTAAGAAATAGGTTGTAAGGGAAAGCTGTGAGATTTGCGCACTGCACCAGATTTTTCTTTTTAAACTAAAATCCTGCATAATTTTCCGGACAACCCAATAATATACCTGGTCAAATCTGGTGGCTTTATTTTATTACACTACTAACTTATGCTGTGGCTGCCTATTTCTGCCCACCAGCAAACCTACAACGGACCATTAGTTCACATTCCCACTACCTGGCAGCGCCATGCTCACTCAATGTACCTAAAAAATGTATTTTTATTTCTTATTATTGTAATGTAAAAAAAACCCGAAGTTCTATCTTGTAAACATTTATATACATTGTGGATACTTTTTAATAATAAAGTAATGACAGTAAGATATACTGATCAAAGCTTTTAAATAACAGTAACTGTAAGGACTCTTGCTAACAAATTAGTCATGCTGGAATAATTACGGCAGTCAGCAAAATGTAAATTTAGATCTTGTATCTTCATCCTTCTGGATGTCAGACCTTCCCTGCAATTTGATCAGTATACTTTATATACGCTTTTTGCTTCAACATCAAACTGACTTTTATTTCACTATGCTCCTTAAACCTATTCTCTCTCCATAAACGATCTGGATGATCATCCCTCAGCTTGTACTCCTATATACTTAGTCTGGAGGCTCATCCCTCCATTAGTATTTCATGTTCCCACAAAGTCTGGAGACTCATCCTTCCATTTGTGGTTTCCATCCTATGGTGTCATAAGGCTCATCCCTTAGCCCACTGACCAAGAGTGATTTGGGAGCTCATTCGTCTGACACTTGAGGTCATCCTGTATTAGCCTCTTCCTATAACCACTGAGTCACTATTTTCCTAAATTGAAAATGCTCTGTCGATGCCTTCTGATCACTCTACTTGTACTCTATGCTCCTAAACCATCACCTCCTAAATTTATTACAGGACGAGTGAACTAGGACAAATTTCGTGATGATTTGGAAAACAAACTAGACTTAAAAATTCCGCTAAAAACAAAAGAGGACATTAATGGTGCCATTGAAAAACTGACAGCATCAATAACAGACAGTATAAATAATAACACTTTTATCAATAAGTTTAACAATTCACAAAAGACTGACTTGTCACAGCATATTCGTATCTTATTGAAGGAAAAACGCAGAGCAAGATCGAAGTTGCATAGAACCAGATATCCAACAGATAAAACTCACTATACCCAACTGACTAACAAACTAAAATCTGAAATTAGAAAATAAAAAATTCAAAATTTACTAAATTTTACTGAAAAACTTACATCTACCGACAAATCACTATGGACGATCACTAAAAGGCTCCTGAAATTTAAAGACTGCAATCATCCACTTCTTACTACCTTGACAATACTAATTACTTTTTATTTTATTCATTTTTGAATACTATTGTAAGTAGAGGGAGGTTTTTTTTTTTTTTTTATTTATTTTAAATGATATTTACAACTGTATACAAAAAAATACATCTAGTAAATTTGCACATTGGTATAAAGACATGGAACACATGTTGAGAAACTACCCATTGGTAGCACTCTAATAATATGTCTATATTAGAAGATCACGTGGCCATCTTCTTTTCAGACGCCTCGGAGGGTTATCAGGAATCGAATAGGAAGCAAGGTTAGAGACAAGAGGGTTGGGATGGTTATGAAGTTTATTATGGAAGGACAGATATCTGGATTGGGCCAAATCTGATACATAAGGAACATTAAGGTCATTATGGATAATTTTATTTGTAACAAAGTAAGGAGCATTGAGGATTTTACGAAGGATTTTGGATTGCAAGGACTGTATGCGAGAGGAATTTGAAGGCTTGGTGGAGCCCCATAGCTCAACCCCGTAAGTCCAAATAGGCCTTATTATAGTCATGTAAATCAGTCTTTTATAATTGATTGGAAGGTTAGAGCGTTTGTCTAGTAAGTGTTGAAGTAGTCGGAAACGTCGAGCGGTTTCTTGTCGTTTCAGTCTGGTATGAGGATTCCAAGTTAGACGTTTGTCCAGATGGAGTCCTAGGTAACGGATTTGTTCAACAGGAATAAGTGAGGTGTTGTTAAAGGATACTGAAGGACAGGAAGTCATTGGTTTACGACGAAGGGTGAAGGTAATTTGATGGGATTTATTGGAATTTATTTTAATTCTCCATTTCTGACACCATTCTTCCAGGTTTGTGATGTGGGATTGAAGGGTTTGGGATGCAATAGATGGGTCGTTATTGACTGATAGGATACATGTGTCATCAGCATATGTGGTGATGACAGTGTTGGGATGGGTTGGGATGTCAGCTGTATAAACTGTGTAAAGGATAGGACCTAGGATACTACCTTGAGGAACACCTGCAGACTGGGAAAAACGGGATGTATATACATTGTTGTGATTTACTTTAAAGTATCTATCAGTAAGGTAGGAACGGATAATGAGGAAGTAGGTAGATGGTAGGAATTTTCGGAGTTTGTACAGCAGTCCCGGGTGCCAAACTCTATCAAACGCCTGTTCAACATCGAGAAAGGCTCCCGTACAGTACATACCGCGCTCCAATGCAGAGGATACTACGTCTACCACACGATGGCATTGCTGTATAGTGGAATGGGAGGAGCGGAATCCAAATTGGTGATCTGGGATTATGTGATTAGAATCTAGGATTGGGTACAGGCGTTTTAAGATTAGTTTTTCCAGGATTTTTCCCATGATGGGTAACAGAGAGATGGGACGGTAAGAGGATGGATATTCTGGTGGCTTTTTGGGTTTGTGGATCATTTTGACAATAGATATTTTCCAAGGATCAGGGAAATATGTTGATCGGAGTACAGCATTATATATGAAAGTAAGGAATAGGATGGCTTTTCGAGGAAGAAGTTTCAAGATCTGGGATGTTATTAGGTCATGTCCAGGAGCTTTGTAGGAGGGTAATCTTTGAATGATGTTGGATATTTCTGTGGGATGAAATGCTTTAGGTGGTAGGGACATTTGGAGAGGAGTATCCAGTTCTGATTCAATACATTCGATGTGGGTTGGATTAAGGATATCAGGATGTGGGTTGAAAATTTGGAACAGATGTTGACCGAATAACTGGGCTTTTTCTTCGTCGGATTTGGACCAGGTTTGGGATTCAGTAAGAAGTGGGTGATTAAAATCTTTAAACTTCAGAAGTTTTTTGGTTGTAGTCCATAGTGATTTGTCAGTTGTTGTAATATTTCCAGTTAGGTTCAGTAATTGTTGAGTTTTATATTTTCTGATTTCTGATTTTAGTTTGTTAGTCAATTCGGTATAGTACATTTTGTCTGAAGGATATCTAGTCCTGTGCCACTTCGATCTTGCTCTGCGTTTATCCCTTAATAAGATTCGAATATGCTGTGGCAAGTTAATTTGTCTTAAATTATTGCTTTTATTATTAACAAATGTGTTATTATTTATACTCGTTGTTATAGTTGTATTAAGGTTTTCTATGGCATTATCAATATGTTGTTTTGTCTTGAGGGGAATTTTTAAGTCCAGTTTATCTTCCAGATCATGACGAAATTTGTCCCAGTCCACTCGTCCTGTAATTAGTTTAGGAAGTTTAGGTTTAGGAGCAAAGTTCGAATGTAGTAAAAGCAAAACTGGACTATGATCTGACGAAAGGTCATCCAGGGATTTGATAATGGATTGGGAGGAGGAAATCTGGGAGGTGATAAATATATCCAGGATATCGGGACGTAAGTAGAGGGAGGTAAATAATAATTTTTTACAGTAATTAATATGTTTCCAAAGTGAATATAAATTTAATTAATGAATGATAGACTCTATATTGAAAATATGTATGCGTCTTTTTTCAGTCCTAGTTATATTTTCCCAATATTATTTTCAATTTTTTAATGAAGTATAATTGTTCTTTAGGTGATAAATAGTCAGGACTATTTATAAAAATCTATAAAAATTAGGACTATCCATACAATGTTTGAGTATTAGCTTGTAATGATTTTTTTATTTTTATTTCATTACTAGCCAATAGTCAAAAACTTTTTAACTATAAGAAACAACGAAGATCTTGCATATATCTTAAATATTTTAGTTATCAAATTATTTGCATTCTACGAAGAAAACTTTGTTTCAGACTCTATGAATGATAAAGTAGATTGTACTTGCTGGAGATCAACTTGTCATACATAGCAAGTGACAACCATTCTTGTTACTTTTGAAAATATATTGCCATCCAATTAAAAATGTCTTCATTGGATGACAACATATCGTTTGATTTGCATCTTTTGTAGACGATATCTTTAACTTTTTTTTCAAAAGTTATCAAAACTTATAATCGATATTTTATTTCTAAAACTAAATTTTGTTGTACTTTTATTTAAAATTCAATTTTCAAACTAAATCCATTGTAATTTTCAAAAACTGAAAATATGAAATAACTTCATTATTTTACGCATTTACTTACGGTTTTGGTCACTTTCGATTTCAACAGTAAGTTGCCTTAAGACATTTGAATCTAACACCCAGGTACAACTTTGAAAGTAGTAATAATTTAGTTGTGTACTTTCTTCTAGTTCAACTGATGTTATATGACCTACAAATAAATTATTTAGTAAATAATAATTCATCTTTTAGATAAATAATCAAACATATTGTTACAAGAATAAATATATTAATTGTACTCTTATCAGAATATTAACCTCAAATTAAAAAAAAAAAAAAAAAAAAAAAAATGATTTACCACATTTTTCAAAACTACAGACTCAATAATGAAATAGCTTAATGACTCTGCAAAATAGGATTTTGTTTAAAATCTTAATGCCAAAAAAAAAAAAAAAACAAATGTCTCCAATAGTTTATAAGTATTTAATGTTTCTATGTTTTTAATACCCTGAGAATATCAAAAAATAATAATACATATAGGATTTTAAATATCAGAATTCAATGTTTTTTAAATGTTATAATATCCTGTTTCATACAAATAAATAAATAAAATACATTAAAAATGTTAAATTAAAGTTTAATGAATATTGATTGTTATTTGAATAAATTAATTAAGAATTTAGTTTAGAATAATTAAGATTAGGATAGGGCTCAGAGCTGGTTAGCTCAGTGAGTATGGCTCTTTGCTCCTATTTTCCTGGGCCCATGTTCAAGTTTGGCTGTTTCAGATAGTTATTTATAAGGTTGCATCAGTTGTGGACCAATCCTAGGTTCAGGAGAACTTTCTGAGGCTCACTTAACCACTACAAAGTGGTTAACCTTAATTGGGAGGAAACCTGGTAGTTGAGTATGATTATAACAAAATCATCACCTTGCACAACTACTGGATGGGAAACAGTACATCCTTACCAAGCACTGAACCCAATACTATTTGAGAGTTGGAGATGTACAGGCTTTTTAAAGCTTAAGATATAATATTAATAAAATTCTAGGAAAAATATTCCAGAATATAAAAAGTTTATTCAGAACAGTAAGAGTTATAAAGTTTATGTGATATAAGTAAGAATCATAAGTTTTATAGTTAAATATACCTGAATGTTGGTTTAATATTTGATGGCCGCAGGAAATATCTGAATGAAATGTGAATTCTGCTTGATAATGAAAACCTTTATTCCATACACTGTGTGCGACAGAGTAGATTATACTTGTTGGGGACCAACTTCTAATACCAACTGGCAACCATTCTTGCTACATTAAAATAAAAAAGTAATAAGTAATCATATTATAGATACCCAAAAAATGAATATAATAATAAATAAATAATTGTAGAACATAAATTCATTCTTCTGTTTCAATCAGCACAAAAGTCATTACTGACTCCTGGCCTTCTGAAGCAGCTTCCGCTAATTTATTCGATTCAGTGCAGCTGCTCTCCAATTCTGTACTCCGAGCAGGGTCCTTGAATCCTCTTCAACACCATCCAACCATCGAAGCCTTGGGCGGCCTCTCAGCCGTGTTCCATGTAGTTGCTCATTAATTAGTTTATTTGGGATCTCATCAGTCCCCATCCTAGATACATGGCCTGCCAAGTGCAGCCTGCCAATTCTTACAATTTTCCCAACATCAGGCTCACCAATCAATGTATACAGTTCCTTGTTTGTCCGTCTTCTACAAGCAGGACCATCCTTTATTGGACCATAGATGTGTCTGAGTATTTTTCTCTTAAATGTTTGGAGATCCCTTTCATCGGATTTTGAAAATGCACAGGTTTCTGAGGCATAGGTTAGTACTGGAAGAATCAGCGTCTTATATAATCTTATTTTTGTAGATCTTGATAATGAGCTACTTCCCAAGTGCCAACGCAGTCCAAAATAACATCTATTGGCTGATGCTATTCGCGTCCTTATCTCTGCCGAAATGTCATTGGTATTGACCTGAGATCCGAGGTACACAAACCGCTCAACTCATTCAAAGAGTAATTACCAATTTGGACAAAGTTAATACCTCTTGTTGACTAGTAGTCATATATTTGCTTTTGTTAGTATTAACAGCAAGTTCTAGCTTCTTCCGCTACAGCTTTTGATCTCCCAATAATTTCGATATCATCAGCATATCCCAGGATTTGTACAGTATGATTAAAGATGGTTCCACTGGTCTGAACCTTTGATTCTCTGACAGCTTTTTCCAGACCAATATTGAAGAGCAGAAAGGCTAGGGAATCTCCCTCTTGAACACCATTATGAGAGGTGAATCCCTCAGACAGATTTCCCTGAATCTGCACCATACACTCAGTATTGCTCATTGCAAGTTTTACAAGCCATATGAGTTTAACCGGTACATTGAGGTCTTTCATTGCCTGATATAGGGCCTAACGTTGAATGCTGTCATAAGCAGATCTAAAATCAACAAATATATGGTATCTGGTATTCCCTTCCGCAATCAAGGATTGTTCGTAGAGTGAAAATCTGATCTGTTGTAGACTTACATTTACTAAAGCCACACTGATGTTTCCCCAGAACTCTCTTAACATGCAGTAGTAATCGTTGATACAGTATATTTGAGAAAATCTTGTTGACGCATGGGAGTAGAGATATGCCCTGATAATTATTGCATTTAAGAAAATCTCCTTTCTTGTGGATAGGACATAAAACTGTCTTATCCCATGTTTTTGGGATGCTTTATTCTGCCCATATCGAAACAAGGAGGTTTTGTAAGTCTTAGAAAAGCTGATCTCTCCCTTTCTTGAATAGCTCGGCAGCCAGTTTGTCAATGCCTGGTGCTCTGTTGTTCTTAAGTCTATCAATGGTTTCACACAGTTCCTCTCTATCTGGGGGCTCTAGGTCATCTTCAGGGGTTCGACTAAGGCCCACTTCTTTCCGCTGAGCTTCCAGTATCCAATTTCCATTGAGCAAGTAATTGAAGTAATTGTTTCATCTTCGTAGTAGGTTGAGTTTTTGTAGGTTGAACTTCATACATCTTTATGCTCGCCTTGTTTTCACAAGTGGGATCCTGGCTCTAAATTTAGCCAGAGTTAGAAAATGGTCTGAGTCCATGTTAGCTCCATGAAAAGTTCTGACATCAAGAAGGTTTGATCTATGTCTAGCACTTATTAGAAAGTGGTCAATCTGGTTGACTGTCTGTCAATCTGGTTGATGGACTTTCCATCGAGGGAAGACCAAGAACCAAGATGGATTCTTTTGTGGAGAAATAGAATCCTGCCAACTAAAAGGTTGTGTGATACACAAAAGTTAATCAGTTTATGTCCATGTGGGCGGGGTGGCTGAACAGGCTAACGTGTGAGCACAGCACCACGTTACCCGGCAACCTGATATATGAGACAATTTATATGAAATAGTCATGAGTTTACGTCCCGGTCCCAGGGGAGTCTTTTAAATCCCCATCCACACCCCCTGGTCATTGTAGCCTTAAAGGCGAGGAAGTGGAGGACCCCAAAAAAAAGTTCATGTCTATTGTCATTGCAGACTATGCTTACCAATAGTTAGGAAATAGATTGCTTCCTTACCAATCTTCGCATTGAAATCACCTGCAACTATTAATACGTCTGAATGAGGACACACCTTAATAGATCTTTATAGCAAGTCATAGTACTCTTCCTTGGTTTGCTCATCTGATGTTTCAGTCGGAGCATGGCAGCTGAATAATATACAATTAAAGAATTTCCCTTTTATCCTGATAGAGCTCATTTGGGGGCTTACAGACTTGAAATCAACGATGAGTTGCTTGCGTTTCTTCCCTACAACATATCCAGTTCCAAAGTGGTGTGATTTATTGTCACAACTGTAGTATATAGTGTGATTTTTTTTTCCGATAGATACTTCTTGAAGTGCAGTAATGTCAATTCCGTAGCGGCCTATTTCATCTAAGAGCAGTTTAGTTGTTCCGGGTCTAAACAGTGTTAAAATGTTCCATGATCCAAAAGTGAAGTCCATATGACAGATGCTATGTTGTTTCCTTGTAGACCATATATTTACTTATGACATATGGCTTCTAGATGTCGAGGTTTAATGATAAAATGGTTTAAGAGATGCAACCAGCTGCCCCTGAGCCAGGTGGAGGGACTGCCCTCCTTGGAGCATCCTGACACACTACCCCATTCGGGGCAGCTACATAAGGAAGGTGACCCTAGGGTGAGTACTGTTATTAACTTTGGTCTGTAATGTTGGGGTGGGTGTAGTGTGCTGTTAATCGTGTAAATGTGTGTGTGTCAGTATACTGTTACCCCAACCTGGAGAGCCAGTGGCTATCTGCAGTGTAATGAACGGGCGATGGGGTCGCCAACTCCCTACGCCTACATGAATTCACAGTAAATTATATTATATTAAATGAAAAGTCAGGGCTCTGTCAGTGAAAGAAACAAAATATCATGGTTTATTTATTTATTTTTCAATTCATTTTATAGGTCTTCTTCAGAGATAAAACACACATACAAGTACATGCACACACTTATATATGAGTGTTTGATTGTTGTACAATATAAGAGAAACACTATTATATACTTTCTAGTAAATATTATTAATGAAATGCAGATAATCAACAATGAAGACTCGGACAAATTCTTGCCATCATGTAATGTTATAAATATTTTATATAAATTGATCATTAAATTGAAAAATAATTTCACAAAACTTTTATCTATCCTTTAACTCAATCTGACATTCTGATAGATAATATCTATTTTACGAAACTCATTATTATCATATTTACTTTCATTTTCATCAGTTTTTAGTTCTCTTTGTGCTCATATTTATGTTGTAAATCTGATGAAGTTAGTTTGAACATTAATATAATAAAGGAAACAATATGTTATTTTGTACTTTTTTTAACTTTGTCCAATGAATATGTTTCAGCAAAACTTACTTGGAAATCACCGCATAGACAAGATAAGTCATTATCTTTAGAGGAAAGTATTAAATGATTAACAGTCTTTAAATCTCCATCAGTTGGCAAGCAACGGCAACCACTATCACCACAGGCAGTCTGACACTTTTTATCTAGAGGTAATTTATTTAAAGAAACTATCTGTAAAATAAGATAAAATTTTATCTTAAAAAATAATAGTATTAAGTTAAAGATTTGGTAGGTAAATATAGTAAAGAACACTAGATATCAATAATGGTTTTAATATCTAAGAAAAACCAAGCAAACTATTTTTTTATGAAAATTAATCATTTTTCTAAGTACAATGAACAAATGATTGCATCTTCAATAATTAAAATTAGAATCAGTATGCTTCAATTTTTGATATGCTAAAAATCATGAATATAAAAATTCTAATCACTAAATAAATAAATATTTTTTCAACAATTTTATAATATCTAGCTAGAGACAGGCAATCTGGGTACACATCTACTGATATGGAGGAATAGGGTACCTCTCACTCGTTGGGAATTATAAATAATGATAAAGCATTTGTGGTTAATTGATTTTAGCTTATTAAAATCAATTAAATTCAAATATTAAATAATATACAATGTCTTTCACATGTGTCTTATTTTCTCCTCCAAAATTACATTTTGCCCGGGGGAGTCAAATATCTATTAGAACATGATGGCACAAAAAAATTGCTATTTTAAAATAAACAAAACATCTAAGATTATTAATATAATGTTTTTATAATTTAGTAATATAAATAATTTTATTTTTTACCATATTTCAAAGATTTAGTTAAAATATATATAATTTCAGAATTTTTTTTACCATTGACAGTCCCTATTATATTTTACAACTTTATTTACAGAGTAGCTTTCGGTGTCCGTACACCATATTCATCTCTATAACTATAACACATCAGATAAGATACATTATTTTAGGTATCATATATCCTATATCATATATCATAAGATACATCATAAATTATTGATGGAAAGAAAATAGTGTTTCAGAAGAATTTATGAAAACTCAATGAAAAAGAAGTGCCTACAATTTTTCTTAACTTGCCAAAATATCTTACATAAGTAACAACTGAATAAAAATCCTTCTAAAAATTTTTTCAAATTAAAGGTAATTGAACCTATTCTCCAAAGTAATAATGATTTTGAGTCCAATCCAGGCCAAATCAGCTCAAAAGTTTCTTCTATCTAGCTCTATGACCCACTAAGTTGTGTCTTGTTCTGCTTCATTATCGACTGCTAGTTTTCTCTATTGAGTGTTACTGCCTTCCAATTACAGTAGGGAGATGGAGATCCTGGAGATGCTATTCACAAAGTAACTCAACAAGAACAGGTGCTAATCTTCCATTTGCAATTCTCCAATTCTATGTTGGCTCCACTTCTCTCTGCGGGTGTGAAGGAGGTAAACAGAATGATGAACATATACATAAAACAAGCAGTCTCTTCTGTGATTAAAGAAAGCTGATATGGCTCTCTCCAACTGAGAAGCAAAGAAAGGTTTACAGAAGACTAGGAGACCTCAGGAAGACATCTGAATTTCTCATTTTAGCCCCTGAACTGGTCATCTAATGGGCTAATGAGTGTGCACAGCACCACAAGTTGCCCAGCAACAATATAACCGAAGTTACAATTAAAAAAGAGTACGAGTTCGCGCCCCGGTGCTGGAGGGGACTTTAAAATCCCCGCCCTCACCCTCCGTACCTGGAAAATCCCGTATAGCCTATAAGGCGAGCTACGGAAGAACAATAAAAAAACAAACAAAAAAACGATTGTAATTACAATTTTGCCACTAAAAAACTTTCCTTAAAATTATACACACACACATACACATACACACACATATATATATATATGTACATATGTATATATATATATATATATATATATATATATATATATATATATATATATATATATATACATATATATATATATATATATAATATTATATCATATATTATGCACAAACACAAAAGTTATTAGTTACCTACCTTGATGATACCTAGATGGAGGGATTGAAGACTAATTAATCTATATAAATGTTATAGTTTACTACCAAGAAATATATGTATCAAGTTTTTTCAAAAAAGTGAGTGTCTTTCTAAAGTGGTGTCAATCCCTGCCCCTGCATATAAAAAGTTTGCTTTGGTTTAATCACCAAGACAGAACTTTTTGCTGATCAATAAAAAGTGCAACACATTTTTCATTGATATGGTTGTCAAAGAAAAATTTTAAGAACAAAAAAAGCAAATCTAGTAGTACTATAAGCAAATAACAATGATTGGAGATTTAAGCAATTATAGTTTAAAATGTAACAATGTGGTGAAGGACTTATAGTATAATAAATGTAAATAATTTTTTTATTTATTATTTCCTAATTTAATAAAAATATTGTAAGTGTGTAAGTGTATTAAAAAATCTAATTAAAAGTACTAAGGATGTAATATATCTCAACAGATAAATTTACTTTAAGAGTGATGCTTTGATTTGTGGCAGGAACAAAATTTTGTACACATCTGATTGGAGAGGGTGAATTCCAAAACAAATGTTGTAATCCAGGATTTCTTATCTCACCAACCGTATTACTTGATAGCCCATAAAATCCAACATCGCAAACTGTATCTGGCTGTAAAGTCCCATCAACATGTTCTAAAAAAGATTAAATCACCTAAATCTCAGATAGAAAAAAAAAAAAATTATATATAGTCGTAAAACGTATGAATATAATGACCTAAATTTGATTTATAATATTTCAATGATCTGTAACAAAACTTGAAAAAAAAAAGACGTGCATCTTTTTTAGTATTTGTTAACGTAGTCTTACCGTTGTGGAATAGGAAAGCTCCATCTACAAACTCTGATTCTGAATGGGAAGAAATTTGAGAACGCTTCAGAAACAAGCTCATTGTATTCTTTGTTGAAAGAAATGTATCCTGAAGTTGTAAACTGAACAATAAACAAACAGAAAAATTAAGTTTTAGTTTTTGAAACAGTATTTAATTAGAAAATTAATTACAACTGTAGGTATTAGATATTTATAACATTGAGTTCTAAACAAAGCTGATTAAGTATGGTGATAGTATAGTAGCTAAACTGCTCACTGACTTCATCAACCATATACTGGAAGAAGTGAAATAACACTAGAATAGACTTTGGTATATTATTATATAAATAAAACTAAATGTTATATTTAAAAAATAAATAAATAATAGGATAGTTTGTGGCAATGGCAGAGGCAACTGTGTAACAGACCCAATTAAAAAGCTGGTGAATAGGGTAATCAACAAATTAGAAAGGGAATTCATACAGGTTACAAAGTAATTTGGTTTGGTGGGCGTCTAATATAATATTTTAGGGTTGTATAACACTAGCAAAAATTTGTGAAACTGTTTAATTCTTAACCTGATAAAGCTCACCAATCAATTGTCTGTCAAGAGAAAATTAGTATGCCTGCTAGGATTTGAACATGGGTAATTAATCATTGGAATACAGTAATCTACCAAGAAAATGTTTATCGAAATTAATATTAAGGCATAAGGAAGTGGCGGATCCATTGTCTAGTCATTGTACCACAGACAGCCTCTGGCCCTCTAAGTTGGGGGAACAGTACACTGACCCTCAGACATTTACACCATTTACAGCACACTGACCCTCAGACATTTACACCGTTTACAGCACACTACATTCATCCACACATCTACAGACTGAATGGCAGTAGGGTGATATTCTACTCCTCTTAAGTCTATTTATTCTGTGAATCACAAAAAGAAAGCCAAAATGATTAATCAGAAAAGACTTTATGCTCACCTAGTGGAATTTAAATTTTGACTGTGGAATGTTCTAAAATTATATAGGATGCTTTGAATCAGCTCCTGACACAATTATACTTCTACAGGATCAGCATTGCTGTAATCCAGGAAGTTGAATGGACCATATATCACCAAGGATCTCTTACTAAAAAAAAACTGCAACATCTATTACAGCTTTGATGACCATCACCACCTGTTTGGAATTATCTTCGTAGTTAAAAAAGAATCACCCAGTCGGTTATTGACTTTAAAGCGATTAGCCCCAGAATGTGCTATCTCTGAATTAAAGGAAGATTCCAAAATCTACCTCTTCTGAGTATTCATGACCCCCCTTCTCCTGAACAACCTGATGAAGAGGAAAAGGATGATTTCTATAGAAAAAATAGAAAAAAACAACAACAAACAAATAAAAAAATAAAATACATATATATATATATATATATATATATATATATATATATATATATATACATATACATATACATATACATATACATATATATACATATACATATACATATACATATACATATACATATACATATATATATATATATATATATATATACATACATATACATATACATATACATATATATATATGTAGAAAATGTTTATCGAAATTAATATTAAGGCATAAGGAAGTGGCGGATCCATTGTCTAGTCATTGTACCACAGACAGCCTCTGGCCATACATATACATATACATATTTGTATATGTATATGTATATGTATATATATATATATATCTATATATATATATATATATATATATATATATATATATATATATATATATATATATATATATATATATATATATATATATGTAGGTCTGTAGAGATAATCGAAAAAAATAAATTTATATACGAGTATCTATGTAGAGATGTAGATGTATTGAGAGTTAGAGCAAAATAATAATCCATATCATAAAAATAATTTTTTTCAGTAAATTCTCGGAATTGATATATAAAGTTATAATTGATATAACTTTTAAACCGTTTGAAGATAAACTCATAAAATAATATATATTATTGAAGAAAATTTAGTTATGAAATACTTTCTTCCCTATGACTTAATTGTAGAATGAAGAAAGCAAGAGTTCGATAGTCATATACAGTAAAAAACATGAGGTAAACATTTTTTTTTCATATTTAGCCGTAGTTGAGGACAAATATCTCGGAAACTAAGCTAGGTAGCGAAAAAAGGTATATAATCATTCTTCTTTTTTTGCTGGAAAGCTGTTTAATATTCTTTATTTTTGGCAATAAAAACTTCCAGGTATACAAACAATTGATTTATTTATTGAATTTACATGTCAAGTTGACGTTTCGTATATAATCAATCCTATTGCAAATGATATTAGTGTTATTTTTGTATAGAACATCTTTGTCGATGCAATGAATAGTTCTCCTGATATAATCTGAAACCCAAAATATAGCAATAAACATGAGGAAAATTTGAAAAACCTTGCAAATTTGTGACCTTCTAGGAACCCTTTCACATCTGGCTCACCACCTAGTAGTATGATCACCTCCTTACTAGTCCAAACAATGTCCCAAAGTCAAAAATTGTTTCTCCACCATTTCCTTCTATATTCATTCATTGACTGGACTAATGACTAACATTTGCATACATACCTTACATGACCATACTAATGATAATGGATTAAGGATGGCTGTTTTTGCTGCATCAAGAGGCTTAGTCATGGGGAGTACACTGTTCTTCCACAAAAGAGTAAATTTTTTCACATAAATGATGGTGTAATCAATTGGGAATTTGATCACATTTTGGTGAGATGAAGGCATAGATCAAGTCTGGTGGATGTGAGAGTATACTGAGGTGCTAATGTATATTTTGATCATTACCTTACAACTGGTAATTTCAGGAGTAGAATTTCCTTGGTGAGAAACCAAAGGAAAACACCACATACCACATTGAATGCGGAAAACCTGAAAGAGCCAGAAGTGAAGCACCAGTTAAATGGTTTACAGCTGTATTGACATCTTGGAACCAAATATTCAATCCTTAAGAACATCTGTGTCGTTCTCCAGAACTAATGATACCCCTCCTCCTTTAATAAGGAGAAGCTCAAAAGAAATTCTTACTAGCTATTTTTAGAAACATGAGAGCCAAGTTTCATAAAAATCATTAGATGACCTTACTAGAGGAGAGGGCAAGGTTTGAAAGCTAATTTAATCCAACAGTACTTTTATTTAGCAATGAAGAACTAAATTTCTAGTTTCATCTAACACCAAATATATCTCTACCTACAATGGATAGCATTTCAAGATAAAGGTTTGTGATAATTTTTCTTTCTTAAAACATTATTTTAATATTGTAATGTAAGTAAAACATTAACAAAAAAAGTTAGAAATATTGTATAAAATAAGAAAAACTTTGGATAGAATAAAAAAATAATTTGTAAAAGGGGTCTTGATATTACCTTCCAGAAGATTCCCGTGAATGTTTTTTTATAGGACTACAAATGACCTTCATTGGTAGGCTCATAGACATTTGCATTCCATCATAAATTTCTAGTGTGGTCTGGCATGAAGGAACTCTAAAAGAGTATAAAACACTCAATGAAAATTTAGTTACTACCATATATACACATCTCAGAGAACATAAAATTTATGAAATTAATATTTTTGCAAATATACAAACTTTAACTTTTTGACTGCCCACCAATGAGATAGCTCATAGTTTGTTTAGATGTTATATTTTTGCAGCTTTGGTGAAATATGTTGTGTTTTAGGATTATTACTGTGTATCAAAGTTAAAGTTTTTAATAATATAATATAATAAAATTTTAGACCAGAATCCTTAAAAGTACTTGGGACAGGCAATGAGTTAATGAATATTTAATAGGTTTTAATGCAACAACATATATAATAATTTATAACAAAGATCCAAAACTGGGATTCGATCAGTTGATTTGTCCAATGATGCAGTTCTCCAGTAGCAGATGACAAGAACGGTCCATAGTTCTTCTGCAAAAGTTTTCTGTCATCAAATATATAGTCGTCCAGTTTTTTTTTGCTCCATGAATTAATGCTGTTACCACTTTCTTGTGGATTAGTCTTTGTTCATCTGAGCCTTCCAAATTTCACCACTTTCAGAAAAATAATCAAAGCTCAAAAATCAAAAGCTCTCATTGCTTATATATGTGTGTTCACACTCACACCTCCATTGAAGGTAGTACAAACGTTGGTAGTGTACCCATTCTCTGTTCTCGGTAGATTCTCCTGTCCTATTTTATCCTTCTAGATGGTATGTATATATTTTTCTAATTATTTTGTCAAAGAAAGATGTAAGCCCATTTATTTACTTATTTCAGAGTAAGTACAGTTCCTGGTCATGTTGAATTTGAATGTCATTGTGTACCCACCTCCTTACGTGATAGACATTTCTACACAATGTCATTGAAATTCTTTCATTCTGAATGCTGCCTGAAACTAGTACTTTAGGATTCTGAAAACTGGTAAGAGGGTGCCGAAAAATGGTACTTATAGAGTTTTTTTTTCATTTTTATGTTTGATTATAAAAAAATTATGGAAAGGAACTGTTTCACAATTACATTTTGAAATGAGAGATCATTATTGACTTAACAGAATAGAAATTGTTGAAGCAAATACTCAGACAATTGAAAATGGGGCAAACTATTTTAAAGTTTCCTTAAGGGTGCCAAAAACTGGGGGGTTGTATCCTTTATCAGGTATGTAAATATGAAACTGAAATTTTTGTATAGAAAACAAATCTTTATAGGTTTCTTTGGCCTAGACTCCCTAGTGGGTTGTTGTACCGAATATGTATGTAATTATCATTAATATATGTATTATTCATTATTAAGGTAATGATTATATTATAAGAAATAAATGTTCTTGCTTATATCAGAATAGAATACCTTAAATGATAATTTAACAAGGTTAAATGTATAACATCGTTAGGCTTTCCAATAAAGAAGAAGGAACAATTATGCCCACACTGGTGACTTCTAGAATCAAAATGGCCACTTCTTGATACATTTCCATAAAATGTAATTGCTGAAGCCTCAGTCTTTTTATTATCTAAAAATAAAAATAAATAAATATGAGTTTTCTATCCATTCACATTTATAAAATAAACAGACAGAACAAATACTGCCATTGTGGTTTTTTGTTTTATTGGAGTAATTCAGATTTATAAAATATTTAATTAATATTCAGTTATATTTAAATAAGATGAAATACACTTGTTATTGAAATGGATTATAAAAATAATAGATTACCACGTTCTTCTGAGAAAGTTGGATGTTGTGCAATTGTTACTGGAGCTTCTGATGTTTTTATAGATGCTGTTGTATTAAAGAAATTAACAGATGCTACAAAGCCATTGTAATCGAATGGGTGAACTGGCAGTCCTGAGCTAAAATTTTAAAGAAATTTAAATTAAATAAACTGTTCAGCTGTGACCTTACAGTGTGAATTTTGTAATGTAAGTCAATTAGAATTATCAATACTTGTATAGTGGTGTGCATGAATAGAATTTGTTTGATAAAGCAAGCTCTAAAGCCTTATAAGGTGAATTTTATACATAAGTCAATTAGATTTGTTAATATCTATTATAATAGATTGTAAATTCATAGAATTTGTTTAAAAGTAGCCAAATCATATACACAGCAAAATTACAATGTGTATTTTAATGCATTTTTAGTATATTATTAGTTATGTCTGCTTTAATTTCTCTAGAGTGTTTATTTTATTTTTGTCATAAAATGTATTGAAAATCATTACAAATAAGATTCCACATGACCTCAGGAAATCGTATAAAAGGTATTTTACAAAAAAAAAAAAATAAAATAAAAGTTTTTTGTGATCTTGTTTTCATGATTGCGAGCTGTAAGAATTTTGTAAAATTATAATAATTTGTGTAATATCTACTGTTATACACTACCTCTTTGCACCAGAGAGGTAGGTCTTCTATTTTAACACTCCAAAAGTATAAATACATAACTATGATTACTGGAGTAGCTAAAATTTGAGCACAATATAAAAAACAAAAGAACATTCAGAAAAAAACTTAAATAGAAAAAAAATAAATAGTATAAAAAAGAAGAAGAAAGAACTTGCACCTAGGTACCTAGGTGATGTCATAAAAACAGGAGACATCATAAATGCTGGTGAAGGCTTGATCTGTTATTGTCTGTCGCAATAGGAGTCATTTTTATAAGTAAAATTTAATTAGAATGTACAGTTTTGAACTTTGTCAGTTAATCTCGGCTTCCGACATATTCACAAAAACAAATTAAAAACGTTATTTAGAACATTACATCTTCATCTTAATCATGCAATAAACCTTTAACAGAAAATCTACTTTATGAAAGAAGAAATATGCGGTTTATATCATCTTATAAATAACTTAGTGTTTTGCACTTACAGGCTTTTGCAGGATGGCTGTCGCTTTGTTTGTATAATTTGAGGATGGATAAATAATTATCTACATGCCTACTTTTATATAATAGATTACTTATTCATCATTTGATAATGGGGGAGTCTATATATATGGTTTCTTTTTTTCAATACCCATAAAAATATCATTGAACATAAATAAATTAAAAAGTTGCTAACCTGAATTCGATTAATATTCCATTATTACTGACAATTCTTTGTCTTTTGTTACCACAAAGCGTTGCAATTAGTGGGCTGGAAGAAGTGGAACCATTATGGACTTTAATAAAATCTGTTTCACATTGCCTGTAATTAAACAATGATTTTTTATTTAATATATAAGAGATAGTAATGTTAACTAACAATATGATAGTCCATAATCACATTTGCTAGATGCACACATAAATAGTTATATATGATCATACGGAAAAAACTGACCATAGTTCAAATTTAAGGAGAAGTTAATCGGGCCAACTAACTTCTCCTTAAATTGTTATATAATTTGTCTATGGATAATATAATTTTTAATATGATTTATTTAATATCATTGATCATAATGGTATTGATTTTATTTGAGATTTCCATCAATATAACTTATATAGGGCAGTAAGTTACAACAGATGGATACAAATAGAAATATATATATATATATATATATATATATATATATATATATATATATATATATAAAGTTGTTATGAAGAATCTTCAAGTATTATAAAATAAGGCTGTGTTTATTTTTCACCACACACATATAGAATCTTCAAATATACAATGACAGGCAAAAAATTCCACCCACTTGATTTTTTCATGTTTTCATCTAAAAATATTTCTGCTTTGGATTGGTCTATTGTTTTTAATGAATAAATAGGTAATCTTTTTGTTTGTTTTCAGTTAGGAATGTTAATATAGAGGACAATATCCCTTTATCCTTAATTCAATGAAATGATTCTAGATTCCAATGTTTACTTTCTATGAAATCAAAATGTTTATTCAGTATCATTAGTTCAGTGCCGTTTCTTGCAGCACATTTCTTAGTCTCCAGCTTTTAATTTTTTCAATATTAAGTTTAAAAATGCCTTTTAGAGCTGAGGATGTTGCGCGTGGTGTGGCACTTATTGATGATGGACGTTCCATTAGATATGCAGCTAATGCCATTGGAGTTCCATATGAAACTTTACTAGACGCCGTCAGGCGTTTTCAGGAAACTGGTTCTTTCAATAGAAGGCCCGGTTCTGGACGGCCTAGGGTAACAGAACCACGGGATGACCGGTTTTTGACTTTGAGAATTTTACGAACCCGGGAACTTACCGTTGTTCAAGCGATTCATCAGCTCGAAGAAGTTCGAGGTGTGCAAATTTCTGAACGTAGCGCTCGGAAAAGATTAAATGAGTATGGATTAATGGCTTTTCGTCCAGTAAGAGGACCAGAGTTGACCAGAACTCACAGAGTAACACTGCTGGATTTTGCTCGAGAACACAGCCATTGGACTATGGACGAATGGAGTGCTGTACTTTTTACAGATGAGTCAAGATTTGCTCTTCGATCTCCAGACAGGCATGAAAGGGTGTGGAGAAGAAGAAACGAAAGATATGCAGCCTGTAATTTTTCCCAGAGCCAACCTTTCCTTAATGGTGTGGGCTGGGATTTCAATGGAGGGCCGCACAGAATTGGTTGTTGTTCATGGAGGGTCTTTGTCGGCCATTCACTATGTAAATGAGATTTTGGAACCTCATGTGCTGCCTATCCTCAACTGCTGCCTATCGTTCTATTCTATTGCACGCCCACATGTCGCCCGCATAGTGCAGACGTTCCTTCAACAGAAAAATATTGAGGTTTTAGCCTGGCCAGCACGTTCTCCAGATTTGAACCCCATTGAGCATTTATGGGATAACCTCGGAAGACGAATAAGAGCACGTGCAACACTTCCTGATACACTACAGGGCCTTGAAAGGGCTCTTTGGGAGGAATGGGCTATCCTCCATTAAAGGGACATTTCCCGACTGGTGGAAAGTATGCTAAGGCGTCTTCAAGAAGTAGTGAAGGCAAGAGGAGGAAACACGCGCTACTAAACGATGATGTAATCAATTTCTTTTAGAATAATAATGGTTCATTTTTCAATTTTTTTTTCTCTAATGTTTCTTATCCAATCACATTTTGATTATTAAAAATAAAAAAGATTATAAAATTCCTTTTTGAAGTTTGAGTTATTGAGTCAGCCATTCTTAAAATCATATTTTTTTTATGAATAGATCATTGATATTCATTAATTATATAAATTTAAAAAAAAACATGAAATGAATGTTATTTTACCCATGAGGAAGGTGCACTACTTTAAATTCAATATCGATAGATGTGTAAGGTGAAGATGTTGTCAAGTAATAATAACACCTTCTGTTTGGTTGATAGATTCCTGGAAAGCCTGGGCTGCCTAGTGTACAAGTGCTTTGATCAGCTTGACACAGTAAGTCATCGTACGCCCAATCACATTCTGAAATAAATTATTTAAATAATAGTCTTTTTATAAAAGTACTTGATTATTACAATAGATAAATTAGACTTATTTTTAATATGAATAAGAAACTTCTTTGGTATAAATAAAAAAAGTTAAAAAAAAAAAAGAACTGAATCACTCATTCCACAACTCTCAGGATCTAGAGTTGCCAAAAACTTATAATCTGGAACCTTCTCTATTTAGCAGACCCTTCTACCAAACTCTCAGTCAGGTATTATTCTTTTTCATGGGATGTCAGCTTTATGAACTTTATCAATGCTGAAATATCTTAATGCAATCCTTTACATCAAACCTTTTTTCTTGTCTATCTTAATTTGTAAGTATTTGTAATTACAATCGGTAATATAAATACCAGCCCAACTCCATGTTAATACACGGTAACAAAGTTTTTTCATAATACTTGACTTCCAAAAGTTTGCAAATTAGATTCTTAATGCTTAGTATTAGTCCATATTCATCCTTTAAGTTAAATTTCTGAGTTTCTTTGTAATCTGCACAAATAAATGATTTTTGCCCCAAAATTCTAGAAAATTGATGAAATGACCAAGATAATCGAGCTAAGAAGGGAGGAGATAGTGTTGAGTTTGTTGTTTTGAGTTCTACCAATGGGTAGTTTCTCTTCATGTTGTACATGTAATGTTACCAATGTCACATTTACTTATTGTATTTTCCATGTAATACAGTTGTAAATCTCAATAAAATAAAATAAAAAAAAATAAAAAAAAAGTGTTTGTTGAAGACATCAGGGACCAATTGGAGGCTTGCAATGAGGGAGACAATGTCTCTGAGCACAGGCAAGAAGTATTCTCAAATTCATCAAGCCGAGATAGACTAAATGGATTGTATGCCAGATAATAATATTTATCTCAATATCCTGTTTTAACAAATAACAATCAGTTTTGAATATTGTACACTTACTTATTCATTCATTTCAATTTTGTAAATTTCAATAATTATTATTGATATCTTTGAATGATTTGTAGTCTTGTAATTTATGAATATATTGAACATATATGGTGTAAGACACAAGCATATTTTGAAATTAAATTATTATGTTTAGGTTGACTTTCATTAGGGTGCAGTTCTGCTCTGATCTGGATTGTGGTGCTTATTGAGTGGTTACTTGAGGAGTGAATGTTGAAAGAAAAAAAAAAATATTCTGGGACAAAATTCATCTAAGAATAATGACAATGTCCAAACATTATGCACATTAGTATGGCAAGAAAATTACGAAATGGTACTTGTTAATTAACTTTTAGTAGCAATTGTAATTACAGAAACAAATAGTTCTTACATAGTTGCTGTGTTTCAAAGTAGATAGCGGAATAGGAGTTATTTAAAGGAATTTTTGGACAAGGATTGACCTAAGAAGATAGGCAGAGAGTTCCAAATGGAGGTAGCTGAAAAATGACAAAAAAGATTTGCTGAAGGAAGTGGTTTTATGGGAGGTGGAGGTATATAGGTCAATAGGTTGAGATCTCATATTATGAGAATAGAGGAACGTAAAGTAAAGAGTTCTATTATGAAAGGAGTTTTTTTGTTCTGAAAACGTGGAAAAGGAAAATGCCAGGAAGAAATTGCCCTCAGGAATTACGATAGAGCCACTTCAACTCGATGTAACAGCAGGAAACATGAGAGCACTTGGGAATCCTAAAGATGAATCTTTTGAAAAAAATTCATAAGTCTCTTCCGTCTCAACTCCAACCTTCCAGATAGCATTCCATATACCCAGAAAGCGTAGTCAAAGTGGAAGAAAACAAGGGAGATTACAAGAAACAGTCTGGTTTTTTGAGGAATAGAATCAAGAACTTTAGAAGTTGTTATAGATTTTCAAGTGGTATGGGAAATATGGTTATTCCAGGAGAGGTTCTGATCAAAGGTTACTCCTAGGTTTTTGACTGTCAGTAGAAAATGGATGGGTCAGTTATTGAGGTAAAGTATAGAATAGTATATAAGGGAACAAATGAAGTGGCTGGAACCAATGAGGATAGCCTTGGTTGTTTTTGCATTCAGCCTCAATTCATTTATTTGTGCCTATCTGTTGATACAATGAGATCCTCATTTTAACAAATATTTAATTCCATTGGTTACAATAAACTTACCAGTGTTTTCTAATTTTCTTCCTCCAGATGGCTGAAATCCAGCTCCGTGATTACCTTTGGCAGAAGTAAAACTGAAGTAGGCCATTATTTGCGATCTGATTGTGGTCTCATCTATTCTGTTAAGAGTCAATACATAAAAAAAATATGAGTAAGCTGCCAAGTATATATCACTGCTTATTGTCATTTAGCATAATTCATATATTCCAATTATTAACAAAGAAGCCCTAGGTTATTGTAAATTTATGAAATATTGTAATCAAAGCCTAAACAATATTTTGAACTACTCTAATGCTGAATAGGGCTAAATTTAAGTCCCTTAATGAAAATACACAATTTCTTATTTATTAAATTAATTAGTACTGTTTTATACCTTAAAAATTCCAAAATTCCACAACTTGAATATAAATATATCACCTGTTGTGGACTGTAAGATTAAAGTTCAAGGAAAATAATGTATATATGTCCCATGTAAGTTAAGTTTAAATTAATTTACTCCAACCAGACAACACTGTTTTGGTTATACCTGCCACAGATGTTTTGTAAGGGTAGGGGAAAGCTTGGGTTTGGAATGTTCATAGTGCAAAAGCTCCTTTCCATTATTAAAGTAATCAAGATAGTTGCAGCCATGGTAGTGAGTGTCATTTCCAGTGTGTATACTGTAGGACTATTATTCTTATTGTCACGCAAACTACAACGTGAAAATTAATAGGACAAACTGTCGCACCATATCTAATCTTATTAACTTTAAGAGTGATTGTGTGTTAAAATATATCTGTCTGAAGCAAGGAACGAAACACAAAATCCTAGCATATGCGGATGATATAACTGTCCTCGGAAGTAATCAAGAGGATATTGAGAGACTCGCTTGGACTCTGTTAAAAGAAGCAAATCGGACTACAAGTCATTGTAGATAAAACAAAATATACGATAGTTAGCCGAAACATCCATCCTAATAACATGATCTGCGTGGACTCATCTGCTTGGAAGTCATTTCCGAAAGCAGACAGATTTAAATACCTCGGCTCCACAATAACCTTAATAAATGATCAACTAAAAGAGATAGACCAGCGAATAACAAGTACGAACAGATCTTTCTTCCCCCTTTCAAGGGTACTGAAATCCAGAAAAATCTCCAAAAAACTAAAAATAAGGTTTTACAACGCCGTGATTAATCACTCAAGCCAGTCCTGCTGTATGGTTGTGAAACCTGGGCTCTAACTGGCACACACGAGAAGCCAGAGTTGAGAGATTCAAAAGAAAAGTTCTCCGTAAGATAACAGGACCTTTATGGGACCAGAACCTTGGCACATGGAGGAAAAGGAACAATAAAGAAATGCTGAAAGAAACGGGTCAGTCAATATCTCATAGCATGAAGGCAAGGAGGTTAAGATGTAGCTCGTAGCAATCCATCAGGAAGCCTATACAAAACAATGAATGCCAGAGTAGTTGGCAAGATACCATGTGAGAGGCCAACAAAGAGACGGCTGAGCTTCATGCCGTAAACTGGAAAGCATTAGGCCAAGATAGGAGAGACTGGTTTAGGCGGCCAAAGATTTACAAGGCCTGTAGAGCCAACCGGAAAAAAAAAAGAATATATATATTTCATATAATATAAAAGTGTTTGAAAAGAAATAATAAAATTTAATAATAATAAATAAAAACAATAATAACTAGGCTATTTTCAATAGGGAACTTTTTAGGTAAGAAAAAAAATTGTAAATACAAAGAAATATATAGTTCGAATCCAGCTGTCTGTGTCCTTTCTCTAGAAATAATATAATTTAATTTTTATGATCAATTACAGTTATTTTTGTGATCATTTTCAGTTATTTTGCTTTTCAGAAATGAGCGAAGTGTTGCTGCTCTAATTTTGTATTGCTATGTGCGGCCGGGAAGGCATATTATCATTTTTCAAAAGTTGAATAAAATCGTTAAAATACATTTTTAATGAAAGCTAAGATCACGCAGGGTGACTCCAAATAACATTTTAAACTAATTTATGCGAAAAAAAAAAATGATCCGTTTTTTTGGACGTTTTTGTGAATTTCAGGATACAACGTAGAAACTCACAAATGAGCTCCCACAGTCAAAGAGTTAAGAAAACAAGACATCAGCAGTTCTGTGTCTATCATTTTCCTAACTGGTACCAGGTTTGATGTAAATGTGTAAACCATTGCACCATTGCTATCTCACTGCCTTGACAATTTTACAGAAATTGTCATCATGTAAACGAGGCTTAAAAAGACAGTGGAATTACTGTTTGTCTTTGGATGCTATAGAGAGAAGAGTTTAGTTTAAGAACAGATTGAGTGAGGCAACAAAACAATAAGATGTTTTAGGAAAGCAATACAAGAAGTTTCTATATGTTTGCATGGAAATTATACATCCACAGATAATGATTTACAAGCTATAGTGTAATAAATTTTACAAACAGTAGGGTTGGTACTAGCCATGATTTTATAAATCATGGTACTATTAGTACTAGAATTTCGATCTAGTGTTTTTAATAATATCCATTTTAATTCTATACTTCTCCTCTTGTTCATAACATTAACAAATATTGTAATAAAATTGTAACTTATACTGTTAACGACAGCATTTGATGTATCCAAACATCTTCACACCTTTAATTTCTTTAACCTGGATAAAAGATCAACAATGTTTATTTATTTTCATCATAGGTACAGGTGATTAGCTTGAATTAAGTTATTTTATTGTTTTCTTACTTTACAATTAATGTTCCTGGGCCTTCATCACTAAACAAGAGAACTGGAGGTTGAAACCTTTCATTTGCTCCACATATCTGTGTCATATCATTTCTGGGAACAGGATTAACGCCATCAACTAGTTGTACGAAACCATATTCACACCTGCGATTAAACCAATCTATGTATATGTGTATATATATGTGTATATATATATGTGTATATATATGTATATATATATCTATATCTATATCTATATATATATATATATATATATATATATATATATATATATATATATATATATTTCTATCTAAATCTACTTAATATTTTTAAATAATATTAGATTATTTGGGCCATAGTACTCACCCAGTTCCATTGAATTTTCCAATACTTATTAATCTGTAAATTTGTATTTCAATTCTATGATTGATATCAGGTATGAATGTAAACCAGCATGAAGTAGGTCCTTGCATTGATGGAGACTTAATTTGGCCAAAAGTTTTTCCTGATTTCGCTACCAATACACTTGCATCTATTGTCATATTGCACACTAAAAAAAAAGTGTTTTTTTAATTATACTTTTTACTTATTATTTAAATCCAGTTGTTACTAGGATAACTAAAAATAATAAATTTTTAAACCAGATGTATTTTATCCATACAATTTTCTTATCAATTAATAGAGTGGTAATTTTTAATACAGATAATAAGTAGTATAAGTTTAGTAGTTTGTTAGTGCTTTGTGGTTTGCCTGAATGATATTTATACTAAGGCATGCATGGTGTAAAAATTGGAAAATATTCTCTATCTGCATCAATTTTTATACAACCAATTATGAAGTTGGCAAACATTTGTACTATCTAAAATGCAAAATATCTCCTGAATGGGGACTTCTGCAGTTTCTTCTTAGCTATGCTATTGAGATTTAGAGTACAGCTCTTTGGAATTGAGGCACCTTGTACATTTTTTAACTTGGAAAAAATCTGCAGAGATGAATATAACATTCACCTAAACATTCAATTTGATAAATAACGGATTGAGAGTACTCACTGTTGGTGCAATGATGTTGGATACCACACTGGGCACAGCGATGAGGTGCTGTTTCTCCACAATGACAGCCTCCCTCTTCAACACAGCAGGCACAATCTTCCCTCCTGCTGTCAAAACTACATTTACAGCCCTCAGCACTCTGTGTCCATAAGTCTACTTGGCCTAAAACAGAAATAAAGCACATAAAATCTGTTAAACATGAATGATGGAATGTTGATAAAAACAACTAAAGAATATTACTAAATATTATTCGCTATGAATATGAGTGTAAATGAAAGAATAAATTTATTCAGTTATGTAATATTCCAAAACTTTAACTAATATATTTTCTAATTATTATTGCAACAGCTTTATCATACACATGGCTTACACTCTTTATTTTACAAAAAGAGTTGAATTGATAGAATTTTTTTGTTTTCATTTAGAGATTTGGATCCATTCTTAGCAAGATATTTGTGACTGAATTTTACTTCCATTTTAGTCCTGTTTTCTCTGAAAAAAAAAAGATGAACTGTGCACGTTGAATCAATGGTCATGGATGGGGATGGGATACAATTAATAACATTTTTAGAATAGAGGTATCAGATATGTCTAAGATGTATGTATATATAACTTCATAAATCGGGGGAATAAAGTGGAGGGGTTGGGAGGAAATGTTATGTTTTTGAAATTTATTTATCATTCAATTAAGAACAAAAAACATAAAAAATAATACTTTACTCCATGTGTGGGTGCCTTTAGGAGGTGGGTACCTCCTCTCCAGGTACCCCCCTTGTTTACAGGTGCGCTAAGTTTTAAAAACTGGAGAAAAACCACATGAACATCCCGAAGTTTTCCCAATCTTTAATGGTTTTTTTCTATCCAGAAAACAACCCTATATAACAAATTTCAGCTCTTTTGATCTAAAGCGGGCCTGGAAGTGGCAAAATGTAGTGGGGAATAAATATATATCCAGGGTGAATCTGACGGAGGAACGAGCCGGAATTCAGAAATGGGTTGCACTCAGAAAAATAATTTAAAAACTCTTCTGTTCTTACCCAATTTTAATGTTTTTAAATTTTATAGGCTAGTCACAAATAAACAATATTTTATACATTTATTAGCACTTCGGTTATCGAATTTAAATTTAATAAATGTTTTGAAAATAACAACATCGTCTTTCTGATCCTCTGGTTAAAAGGTCCTGATCGTTGGATCGGTCGTGGAGGTCCAATTAGTAAGCTTCAATATTTCCAGATTTAATATTACTGGATTATTGTTTGTGGGGATGGTTCAAAGAATTATACAATGTAAACGTATCAAAAATGCTTAAGATGTCATTACCAATCAGGAGGGCAACTGTCGCTCTTCGAAGACGAAGCCGAAAATCTTTAGAAGTCAATGGTTGTATTTTCGAACATTTATTAAAATAAAATTCGATAAAACCGAAGTCCCAACAAATCTATGTTTATTGGGGAAATTTCGTTTATAATATATTCGTTTATAATAATTAGCCAATAAAAAAAAAAAAAAAAAATGAAAATATTAATTATATAAATTAACGAATACAGAAAAAAAATAATCAATATTTGTATTCAAGCTTAAAAGTTGAACTTTTAAGGTCATAATAAATTCTGACATTTAAATCAGATTTGTTTTTATACCAAATTTATAAGCTAGGCCCATCTCTACTGTGTTTTCTGTCTCGCGATGTTGTAAATGTAAATTGTGTTAATTTTTTAACGCAGATTTATTTATTTTTTTCGGCTTGACACTCCTTCAGAGCCAGCGCAAAGTGGGGCCAATCGCCGATCTAGACGAACAAAAAACTTTCAAAATATGAGAGATATAATATAGCATCCTTTTTATAAATAGTTGGTGACCTAAAAAGTGCCTTAGTAAAAATTTAAAGTTCGTTTAAACTGTTACTGAGATTTTAAAAAGACTTCACGCCCCAACCCATGTTTTTGAAAAAAAATCTTGACTGAAAGGTGTAAAATTTATTAGTTGTTTACTGTAACCATGAAACCAATATATTTTATTCTTAAATGTTGACTCTTAACTCTCAATGTTTACTAACATGTTTACTCATATTGTTTGTTTAAATGTTATTTTCATCACTACACCAACTTATAATTACACGTTTTGTGCCGTTTTTTACAAAAATATTCACTAATGATATTTTGAATTTTGCCTTGCGAACTGTGCGGTGCCTAAACAAATTTGTTTTGACTATTACATGGTAGTAATGCCACGGGTTAAGTAGAATTTAAGGAGATTCTAAATACATGTAATCTACACACTTTAGCGATCTGACTCATCTGAATGATCTGACCCACGATTCGAGGAAATTCATATAAACAGGAATTGGCGTTGGGAGGTATCGATCAGTCAATCAAGGCGATTGGTATCAAACAACTAAACATCAAACAAATCATATAATAATTTTAAAGGTAAATCACTATAAGGCCCGTTGGCCGAATGGGCTAACGTGTGTGCGCAGCACCGCCGTTCTCTGGCAACTTAATACATGAGATAACTGGATAAAAATAGTCATGAGTTCGCATCCCGGTGCCGGAGGAGTCTTTTAAACTCCGTATAGCCTTAAAGGCGAGGAAGGGGAGGATAAAAAAAAAAAAAAAAAAAAAAAAAAAAAAAAAAAAAAAAAAAAAAAAAATTAAATCAGTATATATTTATCGCTATGAAATTCACTCTGTCATTGAGGGCTGGTATAAACAAAACAAACTCGTTTGAGATATTTAGTGAAAAACACCTGTTTAAAAATTAAACAGTAAACACCGGTTAAAATTTAATTAAGTTTTGGTGATTGTACTTTTAGTAGCATAATTGGTACTTGTTATGAACATGGACTATTTTATATTATTTTTCTTAAACTGTCAGTAAAAATTACGTGTAGTCTCAAATAGCGTGTTGTAAAATTCCTTAATTATTACGGGTCGTTTCAGTTAATGAAATACATCTTGATATCTGGATTTATATAAAAACGTAATTGTTTATCATTTTTTTTTAAATTTTTACTTGTCTTAGGTGGATTCTAAGCCATCTGGATCAAAATATGTAGAAAGTAGTAGTCCATTAGGACAAACGTTCAATCAATACATGAAACTGTTAAAAAAAAAACACAATCATTTCTTTATATTCCTTTTTTTTTGTTTATTTTGTAGTAGTATTCGTGAGTGTTATTTATATTTCAGTTATTTTCAATCGGCTTTAAAAAAATATATAATTTTTAGCGCGTTTGATAAAACAGTGGAAAAATTCACATCCTGCAATTTTTGAAGTTAGAATTTTTTTTCGCAATAAATATTTTTTATTTTCAAGCCTCTAAACCTCAAAAAATATTCTTTGGTCATTTGGGTATAGTTATCAATGTTAAATAAAAATAATGAACTGCATTTTAGCTACTTAATGATTTTCAAATTGAGCTTGTTAAAAATACTAATTTTATAAAAAAAAAAAAAAGTAGAAAGTTCTATGGTTTATAGTATTATATTTTATATTTTGAAACCCTAGGTCATGAAAGGTGGTGCTGTTGAACTGTCTGATTAAGATCTGTCGGTGGAGATTAAAAATTTCCGAATCACGGCCCTCCATTACTCCCGGTATTTAAAGCAAACTTAATTAAAGTATTAAAATTAAAGTAAACAATCCGAACCATCTTAGCAAAATTTATAATTATGTAAATTATAAAAAATAACAGTCACATAAATTGATAAATTTAATACTTTTCAAGTGAATCAAATGCAAAATATAAAAGAAACCACAATTTACCATAACTATATGTACCGTAATAACACCACAATTTTAAATAAACCATAACTGATGCTGTAAATAATAATAGCTTTAAATTGTCAAGTATAACTTTTACACCAGTAAAATTCTTATCAATAACAAAATAATAAAACTGATTAAAAATTTTTTGTGAAAAAATATTAATCCAGTCAATTGTTACAAATATTAGGTTTGTATCAATTTTTCAATAAGTTTTATGGGTTATTACTGTACTGACAGATTCGCGTTCTCTAATCGGCTATAGGCGCTACCATAGAATTATAAAAGTTAATAAATTCTATTATCTAACTTGCAGTACCATAATAGGCAAGAGAGAGATCACGAACCAAGCCAAGTTCTGTAACTTCAAAGCTGTTTATTTGCTAATATACGGACCTAAGAGTTAAGTAATGTTAGAAATATGACAAGAACATCCTATGACCGACTTGGAAATGAAATATTTTGGCCAAGTGGCAAACAAGATACTAATGTAAAATTAGGAAAAAAAAAAAAACAGTCTTTCCCAAACATTAAAAAAATAAACATGAAACTTGTCAGAAATTGTTTGTTACCCTAACCATAATAACTGGTAAAAAGTCCCAAAGAATTCCGCTTCGGGTTTTGATTGGGGGTGGGGAAGAAGGACAGAAAACTGATATTTTTTTAGTTTTTTGAGAATATCTCAAAACCTATGAGTTTTTTTTTGTTGCAAATATTGTTCAGTACCATATAAAAGTACTTTAAAATCTCTATAAAAATGATTCTATAAATCATTTTGATAAATTCAATGATTACGGAAATATTTATCCAAGCCACGAAATTGATGTTGTTCATAGTAGACGAGTGGTTAATTACAGAGTAAGTTGAGATTCATTCCTAATTGAGTAAAAAGATATATTTCGGTCGATTCCTAATTTGACCGTACTAATAATGTTCTTTCTTAATTAGAGAAAATGTAACTCAATATAATTAATATAGACTTAAATATCATCAAACAAGGAAGTTTTTCAGAAAGTGTGGTATCTTCTGGTTCTCTGAATATAATCAGACCATGGTTCATGGTAACTTTTTGTAAGTTTTAATGTCTTATATTTCATGAAATTAATGGCAATCCACGGGTGGATCTACGGGGGAGGGGCTTTAGGGCTGAAGCCTCCCACCAAAATGCTAAAATATAACCATGTTTTATCGAAAAAAATATTTAAAAAGTATCTCTTAAAGTATTATTGTTCGTGTAATTACATTTAAAAGGGCTTTAGGAATCACTTAAACACCATTTCATACAGGTAGTTAGCTTCTTTCTTTTTTTCCAAAGTAATTATCGTCATTTTTATGAAAAAAAAACACTTTCGGGCTGAAGCCCCCCCCCAAAATTAAATCCTGGATCCGCTAGTGTGGCAATCTAAACTTCATATCATTATCACGAAATTCCCCATTGATTTATATCGAATATAATTCTGTTATCAATGAGATTTTAGAATCATTATAAGTAAGAAACTTTGAATAATAATTCGGACGATTTAAAATCTTAAAAAAAAAACAACTAATTTTTCTTTTTTTTATTATTATTTATGAAATTTACAACTGTACATTTAATATATATTCAGTAAATGTGATACAGATAAATACACGAAATGACAAGGCTTGTAGAGAATCGACACATTGTTAGCACTCTAATAAAGTTTCTAAATTAGCAAGATCACTTTCCAGACGCCTAGGAGGGTTATTAGCGATCGAGGAGGGAGCAGGGTTAGAAAAGAGAGGATTAGGATGGTTCTGAAGTTTATTATGGAATGATAGGTTTGGATTGGGCCAAATCGGAATCATGTGGAATATTCAGGTCATTATGGATTATTTTATTTGTTACAAAGTAAGGAGCATTAAGGATTTTACGAAGGATTTTGGATTGTAAAGATTGGATACAAGAGGAATTCGATGGTTTACTGGAGCCCCAAAGCTCAATTCAGTAAGTCCAAGTAGGTCTTTTTATGGTCATGTGTATGAGTCTTTTGTAATTAATTGAAAGGTTAGGGCGTTTGTCTAGCAAGTGCTAAAGTATTCGGAAACGTCGAGCGGTTTTTTGTCGTTTCAGTCTGGAATGATGATTCCAAGTTAGACGTTTGTTCAGGTGGAGTCCTTGGTAAAAAAAAACAAAGTAATTAAATTTCAAAAAGGTATCGTCTACTATGAACAACAATTTCGTGGTTTGGAGCAATTTTTGCTTAAAGTGGAAATACAGTAAATATGATGTCATAAATATCTCCGTAACTATTGAAGTTATCAAAAAAGTTTATAGAATCATTTTTATAGAGATTTTAAAGTACTTTGTTGAATGTTGGGGTCAATACCAAAATTTTACTGGACTATATGGGACTGGTTCAGTAATGAGAATATAAGGTAGCTGTTGGTAATGCCGGCATTTAATAAAAAACCTTCTACAATACAACTGAAATAGTTTAGAAATTGTTTGCATGTGGCATGAGAACCGAGACTCAAGCAAAATAATGGAGGCTCAACCGACTGTTAAAAGACTCAGGATATTATACAATGAATATATCACCAGGTAAGGTATATGAAAGCGAAATAAAACTATTCCCTGTTTTTGGCAATAATAAATTCCAATTAAACAACAATTGATTTATTTGTTGTATTTACAAGTTTACATGTTTACGTTTCGGGAAATTTACTCCCATCTTCAGAACTATCCCATATTTCTCCCTATATATCCCAGAATACCATATTTCCTTATCGATTCAAGGCTAAAAATGAGTTAAATAAAAATAATGCTCGTTACAATACATGTTAGAATTGCGTTGTTACATTAAATTTGTAAATACCTTAAGTCTAATAATGTGCTCCATTGTCGTGTTCTAAATCCATGTTATAACAAATTATAATATAAAATATCCAGAGCATCATCATGCCTGTAGACCAATTATTGGGTGTCTGCTATGGTGAAAACAATTGTCCTTTGGATATGACTATTTATTTTTTTACTATTGTTGTTGAATGATTATTTTTTATGTAGGTGCAATTTCATTTTTACTAAATTTTAATTTTGTTTAATATATCAGCATAATGTGTACCCAAATGTTTGGTGTCTGTTTTGTAATTTACTGTTGTTCTATTGTTTTTTGTGATGTGTATGGCTTGTTTTTTTGGTTCAGTGCCTAATATCTGTGGTTCATTGAAGTTGAATCTGTGTTGTAATTTTAGGCTGTAATGTGCTAATGCTGTTGTATTTATTTTTTTTGTATTTTTACAGTTAGTAATGTGTTGTGAAATTCTGGTCCCTAAGTGTTTGGATGTTTCTCCAATGTAGATTTTGGGGCAGTTTTGACAATTTAATTTTTCTTGTTTATTAAGTCTATTCCATCTTTTGTATTGGTGATGTGCCTGCTCAATAGAGCACATTAGATTTATGGTATTTACAATTTTAATGTATTATTTTTATTTAACTCATTTTTAGCCATGAATCGATAAGGAGGAAACATGGGATCGTAGTTCTGAAGTTGGTAGTAAATTTCCCGAAACGTAAACATGTAATCTTGAAAATACAACGAACAAATCAATTGTTGTTTAATTGGATGTTATTATTGTCAAAAAAAAAGAGAATATCATACAACTTCCCAGTAAAAAAAAAAAAAAAAAAGAACTTAAAACTATTCCTGAAATGCAGCTGCTGTTAGAGAATGCAGTAGACTAATACTGATGGCTAGAAGCTCCTCTACATGGAGGGACACGAAATGGAAAGAAAAGAAGAAGAATATTTTTAGTAACACGTTAAATAATTAATACTATTCTGAACTCATTGTAAAGTTGTATTAACTGAATACAAGCAAATGTATATTTATTAATATAGCCGTTATTAATCAATGCAACCTCAGTGGTTCGACCAACCAAACAGCGTCACAGTTTGGTCTCTTCCCATTTGCTTAATGATGCACTTAATGCACATTGTAGCGCCCACTATGGGCACCTCTTGGTATCAACTAAAATCCACATTGCATAAAATTGTTATGAAATGGTAGTAGTGAATATAGTCAAAAATAGTTCTTACTTGTGCTATCAACATAAATAGGTGTCCATAGGGCTTGTGGTGATGCAAGAGATAGGCTGGAGAAGAATAAAAAACATAGCATCATTTTCTTCCAGTGTTGTGAAATGACACCTAAAAAAATTACAGTATAGTGTAAATAACATCTTTATTAGTAATAATCTAACAAAAATTGCCGTCAAACTAATCATTAATTATTAAACAACTACCTTCTTTGTTGAGGAGAAAATGTGGAATTCAGTATGGCATGTGATGTAGACATAGCCATTGTTGGTCTTGGTTTATCCAGAAAGCTGGGACATCCATTTTGGTATCCACTCCTGGACTCCAATCACACTGGTTTTTGTTACAACTGCAATACATCGAATAATTAGTTAGTGCACTGACTCAATAATAAAAGTTTTGTGTGGTGGAGATATAGAAGAAATCAAGATGTATATTTGAAATTGCATTTGTAAGTCGGAAATAAAATACAAAATTGAAGAGAAGGATGGCTGGGGTGATCATTCAAAATAAAAAAATAGCAAACATAATAATTATTTTTTTTATTTCTTAATGATATTTAAAACTGTATTAAAGAAATAAATTCAGTAAACTTGAACATATGTATATAATGACGTGAAAACACTTGTTGAGTAACTACCCAATGGTAGCACTCTAATGATATGTCTACATTAGGAGATCACGGGCCATCTTCTTTTCAGACGCCTCGGAGGGTTATCAGGAATTGAAGAGGAAGCAAAGTTAGAAACGAGAGGGTTGGGATGATTTGAAGTTTATTATGGAAGGATAGGTATCTGGATTGGGCCAGATCTGAACATAATAATAATATTTATTTTTACATTTGCCGACGTTTCGGCCCAAAGTTCAGGCCTTCATCAGGGCTAAGAAAAGAACAAGATAATAATAGGTATGAGAAACTATAAACATTGAATAATAAAGAATTAAAATAAAAAAGTGAAAGGTATACACTAAAAAATGTAGGTGGAAAAAAACTTAAAGTAAAATGAAGTAGACAGAGTGAACATTAAAGTAAAATAAAGTAAGTAGAATAATAACAATAACAGAGAACTAAGAAATAAATAATAACTGCAACAAAGTACGGACTAATGAAATAAACGTTGTCAAAACAAGGTAACATAAGAAATAAAAGATGGTAATCCTAGAATAAAATGTAAAACAGAGAAAAGGAATATGAAGTTATATAAGGAAATATTAGATAGAAATAGAAAATTCATGAGAATAGAGCTTTGTTCTCTCTTTCGATGGTACTGAAATCCAGAAAACTCCAGAAATCTCATACTAAGGGTATACAATGCCTTGATAAAGCCAATTCTGCTGTACAGCTGTGATACCTGAGCTCTAACCGGCATCCTAGAGGGCAGAATTAATAGATTCAAAAGAAAAGTCCTCGCTACGGATCAGAACCTTAAAACATGGAGGAGAAGGAATAATAACGAACTGCTTAAAGAAACTGGTCAGTCAATTTCTCATGATATGAAACTATGGAGGTTAAGATGGGCGGGGCATGTAGCTCTAAGCAATCCACCAGGAAGCCTTTACACAATAATGAATGCCAGAGTAGTAGGCACGAGATCACGCGGGAGGCCAAAAACCAGATGGATAGATAGGGTTAACAATAATACGGCTAAGCTTTATGCCGCAAACTGGAAAGCAGTAGCCCAAGATAGCCAAAGGTGAAGAAGGCTGGTTTAGTGGGCCAAATATCTATAAGATCTGCTATATAAATAAATAAACAAAATTATTAATTTTGTTTTAATACGTTTTTACTGACAAAAGATAAGAGAAATAAGTGATGAGTCTCAACTCTCTTGTCATCCATCCATCTTTTCTTTAATATTTATTATCTTTGCAAATATGCGTCAGAAAGACTTGGGATTTATGAGTTTTTATTGTTATAATTTAGTGTTCAACTACGAATAAAACTTGAAATATTCATAAAAATACCCAAATCAATTCACCCCTTGACCATGTTTTCGTTCGTTAATCGTTTTCATTGGTGTGATTATTTGATACTTGTGACTTAGGCGGTCGTCACGAATTGCTATCCGCCAATGTTTATAACCTAAATACTTTGAACTTTGAACACAGATAATTCTAATACTGATAATACCTATCTTCGTATTCATTTTTATGGAAATTTAAATAGCCAAAAAGAAATGTAATAATAATAAGATAATTTTATTTTACAACACATATACAATATACATAAAACACTTTTATTAGTTTAGGAGAGAAAAAGAATATATATAACATTTTATACATACAACGTATATACGTTTATACTTTATGTATACAACATATAGCTATAGGTACCACAGAGAGCTTCTTCTCAGAACTATGAGTCATTTCCTGGCTACTCCTATTTAAACACCACGAGGCACTGAGAGGAGAACAGTCAACTCCATACATCTTATCAAGACCTTAAGTGGACAGGAAGAGATAACCAACAAAAATCATTCAACGCACCTTCAAATACCACAGGTAGAAAAAGGTCAAGGTAATTCAAAGTATCGTTCCGCTAGTGCACTGGTCCGATATGACACTGATATCATGGAGAACAGTCTCATTCAGTAATTGTTAGCTAGTTATTATGCCAGATTAGATCTAGATAGTATTTACCGTGTAAATGTTTGTCATTCATATAAATCTTTATAAAAAGTCGTGTGTGCGTTGAATATTTAACTGGCGCCCGAACGTTGAGACTTGAGCAGAATTTTTGAAGGTATTTTGGTAACTTTGCGAAGCTTTGAGTCGAATGTAAGACCGATATCAAGCAGCATAACTACTCTCCGTCTCGAGGAAGATTGCCACTGCGTATACAAGTATAACAAACATTCTTCACGACTACAGAGGTATCTTTACAAACTTTCTGAAGATTTTCAAATCTTGTCACCAGAGTTTCAAGATCTATTGTTAAGACTTTGCAGCACCGAGGAAGAGAGTTTTCTCAATGAAGACAACATATTTCATGGTAAATTTCATTTCATTTAGTTTATTTTTATTTCATGACAACTTTACAAGATAGAATAAACAATTTAAGAAAATCAAATACTACATCAAGTCCAAAAAATATCGGCAAATTATTATTTGAAACTAGTTTAAATTCACGATTTTAAATTAATTCCTGAATATGATGGTGATCAATTACTTTCAGTAGATTTTATTAGAAATGTCAAATTTTTTAAAAATTATATTGCAAAGATGATAATCCACATAAAAATATTAATCATTCTATATTGGTATTAAGATTACTAACAAAGTTAAATGGTGAAGCTAAATTAGCAACTTATGATAAAGAATTTTATAGTGCAAGTGATATTTTGAAATTTCTAAAACGAAAATACCAAGATTCTCGTACAAGAGAACAATCAGTCTCACGGACCGATTATTTTTTCGGGTTTATCGAGAATCATGTAGGGGGTAGATTGAAACAGGGTCAACGAATTTCTGCAGTATGTAATTTTAAAATATATTATGCTACTTTCAGTTTCTTCTGAACATTATTCCGATGATAGCTGTGATAAAATTATATTTGATGAAATTTCAGTTTTACAGCACATTATTTATACCACCATGAATAATTTGAAAGGAGTCATCCCTTTGTGTGAATAAGAATTGAAACCGGTGACGGGAGACAGAATCGAACTGGAGGAAAAAAAGTGAAGTGGACCAGTGAGGTATAGAATTTTTAAATACTCTGACGGGTTCTGTCGGTGACAGCTCTCTTGCGGTTGGGTAGAGCTCAGCTATCCCCCCCCCCTCCCGCCACCTCTACTACCCTGTCCTCATTAGGTTAGGGCCAGTTCAAATCGATAATAATTATATAATATAATCCCTCATCCCAAAAGGGGCCCTTCCAAGATCAATATTATTGAGTAAATATAGAATTCCGTCAATGTATTGACCCTGTAAGGGCTGTATTGACCAATATTAAATCATTAATACGGATCAAGGGCCTTGAGAGACCATGGAAAATACTAATACACTCGCCCCATTTTTATTTTCTGCTCATATGTTAATTTTTATACAATATTTAGTAACAGCAGTATGTTTTATTATCTGGTCATCCCAAAAGTAATATCGGTATTTAATAAGGGTTAGGATAAAACCAATGACACACGTTCAATTTAAAATATATTTACCATCTTGTTCTATAACCGTTCGCCATCTTGAAACCAAATTTTGTATACCTTTTCTAAAAAATTTTTTTTTTTTTAAAGAAAGCCAACTCCTCGTTTTGCACTTCATCGACTTCATGTTCTTGAATTCAATGTTCCTGCCGTTTAATGAGTTTTGGAGACTGCGAAAAAGGTGATAATCCTAAGCCGCTAAGTCAGGAGAATACGAAATGAAAATATTTTTTTATTATCCTTGGACTGTTGTCCCTTTAGGACAAATTGCAGTTACAGAATAAATGCCTGTGTGGCCATACATAAAATTAATTATTTACAATTCTTATTAAGATTAAGATTTTGGAAAAAGAATAAAACAAAAAATAGATCTATTACACTAAAACCATACTGATATGTACAATACAAACGTGGCAAATAGCATAAATAAAGAAAATCATTTCTGGGGGAACTTTAAAAGTTCTCTTATCTACATTTCATGATCAATCGGGTTGGGAAAGGAGTAGGTGGTTAAAAAGGGGAGATTTGAATGAGGAAACTGATTTTACATGCTGGATATCGGGAGGGATGATGGTCTATAAGAATATAAGAAGGAGACGGTTTGAATTATAAAGGATTTGTCTAACGCTGCAGTTCGGTGGGGAGGTGGATAGAGGTCGGAGGTACGAGATCTAGTGAGACGGGATTGAATGAAATATTTGAATTGTAGACTGTGAAAAATATAGGAAGGCCGCTGAGTTCTGACGACTTGGTATAGAAAGGTAGCAAGGAAGTACAGACAGCGGTTGGATGGATAGAGCCACTTCAACTTAATACTAGGTTATATGCGTATCTCTTGAGATTCCGAAAACAAAACGTATTGCGCAGTTCATTAGGCTTATGGTAGGTGAGCAATAATTTCCCATTCAAAGTAATTTTGGCAAATTTTCGCAAT